GATGGAAATAAAATAGTAATGAAAAGGCTATATAAAATAAAATGACACAACCCTGTCTATTTTTGTTCAATTTCAGTTTTATTGATCAGTAAAAGACATTATAACAGTATAAGTAGCCTAAAAGGTATAATAAGTTATACAAGACAAGAAATAAAGTAAACCATTCAGACACAGCAGGATACAACGTTAAAATAGCCAAAATATAAAGTTATGAAACTTCACTTTGCCCTCAGCCAAAACGATTTGCCAGGGAACAAATGATACGATTAATGATACCAAAGATCGCCCGGGATACACAAGACGAATTATATCTCATGTTTAACCACTACTAGTGACATCAGAGCCAGCGGCAAACGTCAGAAGCACTAGCCGAGGAAAGGCTGTTCCAGGCGGGGTGCAGAGCGCTGAGACCCGGTGAAAGACTGGTCCTCACAACTCCGAAAACGTCAGATCAAACTTTTAAATAGGCGCTATCTTTATAAATAAACCACAGATTTGAGCTTTAAACAACTACATTGTCGACTGAAAAACTATTAAAACTACATTTCGTGACACAATAACAGTAGTATTTTTAAATTTCGCGGCTTCTCAAGTCTGTCTTGCGCGAAAGCACCAGTGAATGAAGGATTGCCGTAAAGCAGGTTTCTGGTCGTACGATGTGTATGACGTCATTGACATTTTAAAAGACTTTTTAAAGCAAATAAGTGACTAAAAAATCTAACACCCAGTAATGTGTAATTTTGTTGCATCTTCTTTCAAATACAACATTCAAATTACTAGACAAATTATATCCTGAGAAAAGTGGATTTTTTAGGGGTATTGCTCCATAGACCTCCATTCATTCTGCACTCCGCCTGTGAGCGCCCTCATATGGACCTAGAGTGGAACTGCAACCAGTTCAGACCCCGGAAGTTTAATGTGAGTGGGTGGGAGTTCTCCCCATATAGGGTTACGCCGCCTTCAGGCCGCCTTCACACTGGCAGTTGAAATCAGCTCCGATACGGCTCCGAAACGACCGGAAGTCATTCATTTCCTATGGAGATTCGCAGACCGCATGCAAATAAGTCCGAAACGGGTCCGACCGAGTGCGGTGCGAAGAAAATCGTGTCCGTTGGTCATCCGGATGCGTTAAAAAAATTGAACTCTTGCGAAAAGCTACGGACGGTTCCTATCCGACAATTCCAGCGGAAGTTAGCGTTGCTATGATACTGATAAACAAACCTGAATTCTTATCGTTATAAAATCATTATTTATTTTATTAAAAGTTCAGTTGTCATGTCATTTTTTTATTTTCATGATTTGCTAACGTCATTAGGGCAGTTAATACAATTAAATTGTAGGCAGCTGATTTCAACTGCCAGTGTGAAGGCGGCGTCACACTGGCAGTTGAAATCAGCTCCGTAATACGCAATACGCCCCCAACGGACGTCGTACTACACAGTGAAAACATAGACAGTAAAAGAAATGGACACAGCGACCCCGTTGATTTCAACGGAGAGAGTTGAAGCCCAACATGGGCACTTACTTCCTGATAGCCAAGCGTTCTGCGCAGGCTCAAACTGAGCTTGACGACGTAGTTGTCACGTGAGCAACCGTTCTGACCTTCTAGTAGCTGTGTCGGGACAAATCTGAATTGAAATCTGAAACAAATCTGTTGTTAAGATATTTTGTCCCGTTGCTTTTATGAACTCTCTATCTATGGGCTTCTCCCTTGACTTTATGCCTCCATGTCCACCCGATTGCCTCATAGACAGTAAACGATTGCCTACGAGCTTCTACTTCTGTCTATACGGTAATTTCTCTACTGTGCGACAGAGCGTCCCGTGGTTATGACGCAATCGTTAGCCTATTTTTACAAGAATGGCTTCTACGGGGCCATAACGTAAGATACAAAGTAATGGAGCCTTTTATACATTGTCGTGTTTCTTTAGAAATAAATAATGGACAAATGGAGTCTTTGGACGCCTCAGATGTAAAGTTATTCGCTGTCAAAGTGACGCCAAAACGAACGGGAGTCAATGGGATGCTAACAGCAGGTGATAGCCTATGGAGGGATTATTGGGTCAGATTGAAAACTAAAAGTCTAAAACTAAAAGTCTTAAACGAAAACCAAAAGTCTAAGTTTGAAACTAAAAGTCTAAGTCGAAAATGAATTTGGTATTTAGGATTGGGCATTTGGTATTTAGGATTGGGCATTTCGTATTTAGGATTGGGCATTTGGTCATTTAGCCATTTAGGATTTAGGATTGGGGATTTAGGATTGGGCATTTAATCATTTAGCCATTTAGGATTGGGCATTTGAGGATTGAGGATTGAGGAGTGTATGCAAATAAGAAGGCGTGGCCCAAATACTGGAGGCTGGGTTTGAAATGGCTGGTGCAGATGCACCTTATGGACAGCAGAGGGAGCTCCAGTGCTAAGGAGCACACTGTAATGAAACCAAAACAGAGCGAGTGAGCAGGTCATGGTCTGGAGCGAGGACTGTACTTTATAATGTGATAACTTCAACTTAATGACAGCGTTGTATAGGGGTACTGGAACGTACATGTATTCCTATTGAACCGAAACGGTAGCCTACGGGCGTCACGGTTCGGTGCACGAATTTACACGGAGAATATACGGTATAAAAATAAACAAAACTCTAAATAGCGATACATTTCGCTCTATTCGCGTTTGGTGTGAACGCAGCATAATAAACAGGCTGCGATGTCAAGATTGCAATGTTGGAGTGTGTGCGCAAAGTTCAAACTGCAAAGTGTGTATATTTGTATACACTCGCAATAAAATACAACATTGTGCCTTTGTCACACTCTAAAATCTTGTCAAACTGTAACCTACAACTGTCACCCAACCAAAATCACACACACACACACACAGACACACACACACACACTCTCTCTCTCTCTCTCTCACACACACACACACACACACACCTAGTTCGATCGCGCCCGCGCCTCCCCCCTCTCTCTCTCTCACACACACACTCTCTCTCTCTCTCGCGCGTGCGCGCACACACACACTCCAGCATTGCAATCTTGACATCGCAGCCTGTTTATTATGCTGCCTTCACACCAAACGCGAATAGAGCGAAATGTATTGCTATTTAGAGTTTTGTTTATTTTTATACCGTATATTCTCCGTGTAAATTCGTGCACCGAACCGTGACGCCCGTAGGCTACCGTTTCGGTTCAATAGGAATACATGTACCGTTCCAGTACCCCTATACAACGCTGTCATTAAGTTGAAGTTATCACATTATAAAGTACAGTCCTCGCTCCAGACCATGACCTGCTCACTCGCTCTGTTCGGTTTCATTACAGTGTGCTCCTTAGCACTGGAGCTCCCTCTGCTGTCCATAAGGTGCATCTGCACCAGCCATTTCAAACCCAGCCTCCAGTATTTGGGCCACGCCTTCTTATTTGCATACACTCCTCAATCCTCAATCCTCAAATGCCCAATCCTAAATGGCTAAATGATTAAATGCCCAATCCTAAATCCCTAAATGCCCAATCCTAAATCCTAAATGGCTAAATGACCAAATGCCCAATCCTAAATACGAAATGCCCTATCCTAAATACCAAATGCCCAATCCTAAATACCAAATGCCCAATCCTAAATACCAAATGCCCAATCCTAAATACCAAATTCATTTTCGACTTAGACTTTTAGTTTTCGACTTAGACTTTTGGTTTTCGTTTAAGACTTTTAGTTTTAGACTTTTAGTTTTCAATCTGACCCAATAATCCCTCCATAGTCATGATCAGGTCGGCTAAAAAATGTGATATAGTGGTATAATTTATACCACTATATCACATTTAGTTCGATGTCTGCCTACAAAGTTAATTGTATTAACTGCCCTAATGACGTTAGCAATGAAAATAAAAAAATGACATTACAACTTAACTTTTAATAAAATAAATAATGATTTTATAACGATTTATAACGATTTATAACGATATAAAGAATTCAGGTTTGTTTATCAGTATCATAGCAACGCTAACTTCCGCTGGAATTGTCGGATAGGAACCGTCCGTAGCTTTTCGCAAGAGTTCAATTTTTTGAACGCATCCGGATGACCAACGGACACGATTTTCTTCGCACCGCGCTCGGTCGGAACCGTTTCGGACTCATTCGCATGCGGTCTGCGAATCTCCATAGGAAATGAATGACTTCCGGTCGTTTCGGAGCCTTATCGGAGCTGATTTCAACTGCCAGTGTGAAGGCGGCGTTAGGCCCATATAGGTGTGGTTGGTTATTCTAGCTCCACATTAGGCCCAAATTAAGTTACATTCACTCCTCCTCGCTAAAGCTCAAACGAGGAGGGGCTACACAAGACCCACCCGTTGCTCTGCAGTGAGCAGCTTCTTAGAAATGTAGGACAGCAGATTATTCATTCAGTGAGATGTCAAAATGTAGTTTACCTGGTGTTTGAGGAATACAGAGAGTGCTGCCTTTTACTTAAATAAACGAGCTTCATACGACTGAATGCAATTGTTCGAGACATCGGAACAATATTTTTGTGCAAAGTATAACATCGGCCTATAGTTCTTTTTCCTGCAGGCTACTAAAAAAAGCGAAAGGTATCAGGTTCCCTATCAGTGCCTGACATGGTACAGGTCCAGAGTCTTTGTTTTGCAGGTTAAATAAAACGGGTGATTTCTGTGAAACCTGAACGTGAGCGAACTCAACCCACCCAAGTGTGCATACTTTCACTTTCACTTGGCAGCATCATTATTCTCTAAGAGAGCGTGTCTGGTAATGACTCAGAATAACAAATTTAACAACGGGAGGAGCCTCAGTCCAACTGGGTTGTGCAGTTTAAAAATAAAGAACCATAGCCTAGCCTACTGTTAAAACAACAAATCTCCTCGCTGTCAGGCAGTCTCCTTGCTCCATCAATAAGGTATGAAACATTCAGATTTAATATTTTTTATATGAAGGTTATAAAATCGCGCGAATGGCTTTGTTTTACTTTTGTTTTTATCTTGCGTCTTGTTGTTTTCTTTCGCAGAGTCATGGCGTGTGGCGGGCTCATGTCCGCTCCGGTGTGTCTCATTGAAAATGATGAAAATGGGAAGCTGTGTGTTAGGAAACAGGCCAAAGACATTCTGGATGGGATAAATGAGCCGGTAGTGGTAGTGTCTGTGGTGGGACTCTACCGTACGGGGAAATCCTACCTTATGAACCGCCTGGCAGGACAACAGTCCGGTGAGAGAAATGTTTATGTCCAAGATAACTGTTTATGTCCAAGATAACTGCCTACTAGGGTCACCAACAGTCCTGTTTTCCCAGGACATATCCTGTTTTCACGTCCTGTCCTGGCCGTCCTGGCTGTTTTTTATAAAGTGATGAAAATGTCCCGGTTTTCAAAAAACTGCAGGGAAAGAACTAGGGATGGGAATTGATAAGATTTTATCAATATCAATGCCACTAACGATTCTGCTTATCGATCCGATTTTTTAACGATTCTCTTATCGATTTCTGATAACACTGTGTGGAAGTAGTCATACAACAATGAGTCGAACAAGTGGTTTTATTTGTTTTAAAGCTTAAAACTGTACTTTTTATGTAATGTATGTAATAAATGGAACCTTATTGTAAAGTGTTACCGATTAGTTATACACTGATTAAACGTCCCGTGAGTTCAGTGTTGGAAAGAGAAGTTGTTACCATTCATTAAAACGAATCGGTTCAAATGAGTCATTAGTTTGCGAATTGGACGTGTCATTATCGGACGTGTGCGCGTTGTGTGATTATCCCGGCGCGTTGGGACATCCCACAAGACGTGTGTGTCATCACAGAAAACATTTCATCAATGGATAGTTTTTTTTCCCGTTATTTAAAGTGTGGTTTATGTCAGCTGAATGTGTGGAACGCTTTTCAGAGAAGATTAGGCAACGTATTTTAGCACAATTCACACCCAGCGGTAGCCTAATTCAGGAAAAACAAATCTCCGAATGCTCCACATGAAACTTTAGTCTCCCGACCTTACCATCGTGTCGTTTATTTTTAATTAATATGTGCGAGGGAGAGAGAGCAAGACAGCGCTTAGTTTTGAGACGGTGAAGCCTTTTGCTCCGAAGAGAGAGCGTGCGCGCGCGCGACCGGGGCTCTCTCTCTCTCTCTGCTCGTTCAGTTAAACATGCGCCCTCACTGTCACAAGCGCAGCAGTTCAACTACTCACCGATCAAATAAGACTTTGGCGGTACAAAAATTCGCTTTGGACGCCGTGCTATGGTGCTTGATAAAGGACAAAAGGGACAGTTGTGAGTTCACGGTCTGTAGCCTACATACTATGGCTGACTCAGAGCAGGAGCATCGATAAGAGGACTCGTTAACGTCGAGGGCATACAATATCGATGGATCGTAAAACTTAGAACCGGTTCTCGAGTGGAACCGGTTTTCAATTCCCATCCCTAGAAAGAACAGCTCTACAGTAAAATATAGATGGGCAAACAAGGAAGATGAGGAAGAAAAACAGGATAAAGAGGAAGAAAACTAAAGATATAAATATATTTTGTTAGTTCGTTTTTGTAAGCTTGTGAGAGCTATTTTTGTTCAATTTGGAGGTATTTATTTTAGTTATTTATTATTTATATATTTATTTTTCTAATACAGAAGAGACATTATTTCTATCATTATTTTTGAAACATGTCATAATAGAATGTTGAGTAACCTCTGAGAACCCTATCTGAATTTGTCTTGTAATATAACATGTTTCTATCCATACAGAGGAGGCATAGCCTACTTTAAATGTATTGAAATTATTAAGGCATCTTTGAGTAAACTTCGAGTATCATTTGAGTATCTGTTTGCCGGGCCGAGTGTCCTGGTTTTTGGTAAGATGGTAAGACATTTTTGGTAAAATATGGTCACCCTATAACTGCCATATTACCAAAGCAACATTAAAAACAAAACACTCTGCCAAACTTTAAAGACTGAAATTATTAAGTAGTTTTTTTGGCATAATGTTTTATTATTATTTCTTAACAAGAACAAGATATAGAGAAAATATTATTCATTAACAGACCAAGTAAAACATCTTTGAAAACATCTACTTGCTGGAAGGACCAGATAAGTAATCCCAGAAGGTGCTCTTTTGGTTGGGTTCCAAACATATATTTTTTAGATTTTTTTTATTATTATTATTTAATTGTATTATTATTTTTGTGTTTTTTTTTTTTTTAAATGTATGTGATTATACTTTGTAATAGTTAACCATATTATAGGTCAATCTGTAATGGTTATTTTGGTTTCTCCTTTTTCTACTGAGTAACTAATTACATCTTCATCTGTGAGTCATTTTGTACCTGCCACTGAGGAATGCTGAATGGCAGAAGATAAATGCCATCAGTGTGCACACTGTGCAGTGTTTTAGTCATTTTTAATGTTTCTAGAGTGAGTCATAATGTGAATAAAAGCTTTTTAACGTTTTTGGATCTTTTTCTAAAAAATATTATTGATATTCAGAAAACTTTAGTCAGGTTATGTCACCAACATGCAGGAAACCATTTTGTGACAATGATAAAACAGGAATGGCATCACAAACAGGATATAAAAATTTTTTTTGTTTTTAAATAGGATGTTTATCAGACAGAAACATAAAACCAACGTGAATACAAATATTATATTTCTTGAGTTCTGGATTGGCGAGTAGATTTAAAGATTTGTTTTTCATCTAGGACATCCTTATATGTCAATGTGATTTGTCTCAGGCTTTGCTCTTGGCAGCACTATTGAATCAAAGACCAAAGGCATCTGGATGTGGTGTGTCCCTCACCCCTATAAAGAAGGACACACTCTGGTGCTGCTGGACACAGAGGGACTGGGTGACGTGGAGAAGGTGAGGAGGAAAACTGGGTCCATAGCAACATTATCATATAGTCTACCATCACCTTGTCTTGTGCTTTCACTTTCCATTTAATAGATGAGAAAATTCACTGCACAGAATTATTTAGACATTACACATCGGTTTTAAACTGAATGGTCTTTTGCTAGTAAAGGTAAATAAGTGGCCACTTATTCTGTAGCTGACAGACTGTTTATGTTTCAGGGGGATGAGAAACATGACACGTGGATCTTCTGTCTGGCTGTTCTTCTCAGCAGCACTCTAGTGTACAACAGCTTAGGGGTCATTGACAACATGGCACTGGAAAAGCTACAGTATCCTTCCATCCTCCATACACAATAAACATGCACATTCACTGTAACAAAAAAAATTAAAACACTATCATAGCATTAGTGTAATTCTTCCTGAACAGCGCTGAATATAGCTACGTTACAGAGCTGACGGAGAACATTCGTGTGAAGGCAGAAGTGAGTCGAGACGAGGACGAGTCAGCAGATTTCATGCGTGTTTTCCCATCGTTTGTCTGGGCTGTTCGTGACTTCACTCTGGAACTGAAAATGGGGAATGACCCAATAACATCAGATGAGTATCTGGAGAGCGCACTGAAACTCAAACCAGGTGAGACAAAAAGTTGACATTAAACACATACAGTACATACTCTTTTACCTACAGGCAAAAATGCCATCACAGACAAGTTTTGTCCTGTTGAAAACCATTATTATAGACCAATTTGAACTAGATAACAGGAAATTCTATGATGGTCTTAAAGCTACAGTGTGCAGTTAGTGACACGTTAGTCATAATTGCAGAAATAATGATTGTCTCCAAACAAACAAGTTTTCCCTAAAAAAATTCCACAAACTCATTCCTCGGGCTTAGCTTAAATTGGCTCTCATAATATAATACAGTGTTTTCCAACCCTGTTTGTGGAGGCAAACCAACAGTGCACATTGAGGATGTCTCCCTTATCTGACCCACATATTACTGATCTTGAAGTCTCTACTTATGAGTTGGTGAGTTAAATCAGGTGTGTGTGGTCAGAAGGATTTGAAAATGTGTAGTGTTGGGGTGCGTCTCAATCAGCTCCCGAGCTAGTAAATCAGTATATCGTATATCGTGTTCATGAATTCGAGCACTGGTCAGGACGGTAAGGACCCTGGCTCGCTACACATTGGGATACTGATGACTCTATTTCCAGCGACATGACAACGTCCTCATTGTACAACATCACTACTGGTATTTATGAACAACAGCAGAACTGACATCTTTCTGGCATTATTTTTAATGTTATTTTCAGTTCCCGTGAAGGATTTTGCGATAGAGACAGGCTTTTAAAATCGCCGACTCCCTGATCAGTACCCTGATTACTGAACTAGGGAGCTGATTGAGACGCACCCTTGCTGTGCCTCCAGGAACAGGGTTAAGAAAGACTGATCACTGATATAGGGTGCTTCTCAAACAGAAGGCTTCATCATATTCCTAGTGATGCTGTGTCCTTCCTAGTCCAGTCCTTCATAGGCTTAAAGGTTCCTCCTCAGCATTAAACGCTAGAATGAAACAGTCTAGTAAGTGTGCAAGGCTACGTCAAACATGTTCCCGTCCCCACGGTCAAGGCACGAAGACACGGTTAAAACTTAATTTTTGAAAAATACTTTGTATTAAAAATCTTTATAGTAACTGGCTTTCTATTAATGCAATAGGGTTGTAACAATGGTGTGTTTAATGACATCCATCTGTGGTCTCCCAGTGGCTTATATTATTGGCTGTTTATTGTTAAGTGATCAATTTACACCAAAACTAAAGATAACATGCCTTTATCTCCGAAAACATTATTTTTGTCTTGCATTTCATAATGAACTCAGACAAAATAAGGATTGTGGATAATTGAAGGATGTGAAGGATACACTTGATGCATCCTTCAAAATGAACTGAATGAAGGATGCGAAATGAAGGATGCCTTCCAAGGATCCTTCAAATTGAGATGTGATGATGACAGCTGAGGTCACTTTACAAGACACAGCCTTCCATTTAAGAACCACCCATAATGTATACAGTATATATTATGATTTCATAATAATGTTATTAATAATTATATTTTTTTTAGGTAACTCACCTCAGACTGAGAGGTTTAACCTGCCCCGCCGCTGTCTGCGTCATTTCTTTGCGGTAAGAAAGTGCTTTGTGTTCCCTCGGCCAGCTAGTACGCAAAACATGAGGAAAATGGAGGAACTGGCCGAGGAAGATCTGGATTCAGAGTTCCTTGAGCAGGCAAAAACTTTTTGCCGTTACATTTATGACAACGCAGATCCAAAAATCGTCTGCGGAGGCCGTACAATTACTGGAACAGGTGTGTGCCACCTTAGAAACCCTTATAGAGAACAAATTAATAAAAGTTTTTAATCTCTTTCGAGAACCAATAATCAATGGACAGTGTATTAAAAAAAAGGGTTGGCTGAACTATCGAGTTGTGTTTCCTGACAGCTCTGGGGAATCTTGCTGAGGTTTACGTAGAGGCGATCCGCAACGGGAAGGTTCCGTGCCTGGAGAACGCAGTCGTGTCTCTGGCTAAGATCCAGAACGTCCGTGCAGTGGAACAGGCCCTGGAGTCCTACATGACCGAGATGCTTAGCATGGCTCAGCTTCCTATGGACCCTGCAGATCTGTCCAACATCCACACAGTCGCAGAGAAGAAAGCCATTGAAGGTTTCATCACCTTGTCCTTCAATGACAATGACCAGATCTACCAACAAGAGCTCATGGTAAAATTGAATTCTTGTTGTGTTTTATTTTGCATTTGCATAGAGGCGATAAGATTTAGCTAGATTTAGCTAACTTTTTATGTATTTAAAGAAAAGTTCCATGTTTAATACAAATGAAGCTTTATAATGATGTCAACATATGATGTCAATAAAATGTAACTTGCATTAGTATTGAACCTGACAGATTCATTTACAAACTTCTGAGCACTTTTGAACAGAAAAGTCAAAAGAGAACCATCACAAACTCCTCCTTTTCTTTTGCTAAAGTTGCTTTATTATCTGAAAATTGCATGCACACGAGCGCGAAGGTACGCGCGGCAAAAATGCCACGTTTGGTGCGCAAGACCGGCAAGACCCCATTACGCTTGGCTGTGTGCACGGCTTTTTTTGTAACAGCGGGCGCGGCACGGCGCCGCGTCCGAGGATGCCCGAGCATGTTGGCTACTACGTCTCACCGCACCGGCACCCAGTTTGCCTAAATTGCAACATTTTTGTGTTAATGTTTACTGTGTGTGATTTATTTAATGGAAAGCACATTCACTTTTAGTTGTCTTGCTGTTAATTTTAAATAAACGCTTCATCGCTCTGATTGGTTTTAGGTCTATCCAATTGCGCCCAGAGGCATTTGAGCTACGTCCGTTGGTGACGCCCCTTTGGAAATGATTTGTCTATGACGCTTTGCCAGACCATAACTCAGTTACAACTGAGAATGGTCTGGTTTTAACCAGACTAACACTTAATATATATATATATTAGTAAATATGTGCATTGATTCAAATAATGGAGATGCAACCGAGACAGCAACATAGTGCCAGATGTTGGCCGGATCTGGGCCAACACTGTTGTTGTAAGGGAATCCATGTGCAATATTCCAGTTCTAAAGTATAAAACAGTTGTGTGTTCTCTCTCTCTCTCTCTCTCTCTCTCTCTCTCTCTCTCTCTCTCTCTCTCTCTCTCTCTCTCTCTCTCTCTCTCTCTCTCTCTCTCTCTCTCTCTCTCTCATTGCTTCTCACAATTTAGAGGAAGATTCAAAATGAATATCAAGACATGTGCCTGCAGAATCATCAAGCGTCTCACATGCAGTGTGAGGCTGTTCTGCGTGAGGTGTTTGATACACTGGAAAAAGGCATTTCTGACGGATTATACCTGAAACCTGGAGGATACCGTCAGTACAGAGACATGCTGGCACAGCTGGCTGAGGAGTACAGAGCAAAGACAAAGTCACAAATAATGGTACAGAACACACATGCATGCTTTGCTTGCGTTTTATTGTTCTGGATGGTCACAACAGCATGAAACAGCACTGATAAACATTTGTAACGCTGATAAAGATTAAAGATAACATGACAACAGCTAACAGTCATGAAACTGAAACACGAAAAATTCTATAATTTACTCACTCTCATGTTTTTCTAAATCTGTGCTTTTGTTATTTTCCTTAAAGCATACAATTAGAAATTTTGAAGAATGTACTTTTTATTCAAACAGTATGTAATGATCAGGACTGTCAAACTAACACCATGACTTATGTGTTAGACTCGATATTCCAAGTTATGCAATATGATAAGGCTTCACAATATATGGAAAATGGTGCACAGGTAATTTGGGCAACTTTATGATACTTTAATTATTGTTTTCATTTTGGAGCTTGAAAGCCATGGTAACAGAACTTTGTATAAAAAATTACATTTCCTTTTGGAAAAATTGACACTACACTCACCTAAAGGATTATTAGGAACACCTGTTCAATTTCTCATTAATGCAATTATCTAATCAACCAATCGCATGGCAGTTGCTTCAATGCATTTGGGGGTGTGGTCCTGGTCAAGACAATCTCCTGAACTCCAAACTGAATGTCAGAATGGGAAAAAAAGGTGATTTAAGCAATTTTGAGCGTGGCATGGTTGTTGGTGCCAGACGGGCCGGTCTGAGTATTTCACAATCTGCTCAGTTACTGGGATTTTCACGCACAACCATTTCTAGGGTTTACAAAGAATGGTGTGAAAAGGGAAAAACATCCAGTATGCGGCAGTCCTGTGGGCGAAAATGCCTTGTTGATGCTAGAGGTCAGAGGAGAATGGGCCGACTGATTCAAGCTGATAGAAGAGCAACTTTGACTGAAATAACCACTCGTTACAACCGAGGTATGCAGCAAAGCATTTGTGAAGCCACAACACACACAACCTTGAGGCGGATGGAACAGCATTTACATTTATTCATTTAGCTGACGCTTTTATCCAAAGCGACTTACAATTGCTATATATGTCAGAGGTCGCACGCCTCTGGAGCAACTAGGGGTTAAGATTCTTGCTCAGGGACACATTGGTGTCTCACAGTGGATTCGAACCCGGGTCTCTCACACCAAAGGCATGCGTCTTATCCACTGCGCCATCACCACCCCTCTGGGGGTGGGTACCACTCATCTCCACTAAAAATAGGAAAAAGAGGCTACAATTTGCAAGAGCTCACCAAAATTGGACAGTTGAAGGCTGGAAAAATGTTGCCTGGTCTGATGAGTCTCGATTTCTGTTGAGACATTCAGATGGTAGAGTCAGAATTTGGCGTAAACAGAATGAGAACATGGATCCATCATGCCTTGTTACCACTGTGCAGGCTGGTGGTGGTGGTGTAATGGTGTGGGGGATGTTTTCTTGGCACACTTTAGGTCCCTTAGTGCCAATTGGGCATCATTTAAATGCCACGGCCTACCTGAGCATTGTTTCTGACCATGTCCATCCCTTTATGGCCACCATATACCCATCCTCTGATGGCTACTTCCAGCAGGATAATGCACTGTCACAAAGCTCGAATCATTTCAAATTGGTTTCTTGAACATGACAATGAGTTCACTGTACTAAAATGGCCCCCACAGTCACCAGATCTCAACCCAATAGAGCATCTTTGGGATGTGGTGGAACGGGAGCTTCGTGCCCTGGATGTGCATCCCACAAATCTCCATCAACTGCAAGATGCTATCCTATCAATATGGGCCAACATTTCTAAAGAATGCTTTCAGCACCTTGTTGAATCAATGCCACGTAGAAGTTAGGCAGTTCTGAAGGCGAAAGGGGGTCAAACACAGTATTAGTATGGTGTTCCTAATAATCCTTTAGGTGAGTGTATGTTGGTTTGTAACAACATGAGGGTTAGTAAGTTATAAAAAAAACTTTTATATATTTGGATGAACTAATCCTTTAAATATGATTTGTTGCTATCAAAGAAGCAGATATTTTGAATGATTAGGAATGGGTTTTTTTTACAGTGTGAGGAAGTGTTGAGTTTGCATTTGAAAGCAAAGGAAGAGGTTGGAAATATGATTCTACAATCCGACGAATGTCTCAGTGCAGCGGAACAGGAAAAAGAGGGTACAATTCAAATCATCTGCATACTTTTCTGTCAATCAAGGCTCTCAGTGATAGACTGTACAATGACTTTAATCAGAGTACAGAACAGAAACAAACAGATTTTGTGATTAACTTATAGCTGCAGTAGCTCACACTTTCATTACTATATACTTCTCGTGTGTATCTGTATTGTCTAGCTGTTGAGGCACAATGAGTAAACTTTCTCTTTCTCTATACAGTGCAGAGATTAAAGAATGAGATCTTAGAGCAGCGGCAAAGAGGCCTAGAGGAACATAACAAGTTACAAGAGCAGGCGTTTAAAGACATGCAGAGAACCCATAAGGAGCATGTTGATCAGATCTTTCATCAGATGGAGAGAGAACAAGAGAGAATGAGGAGAGACAATGAACGAGTCCTGGAAGCCAAACTGAGGGTAAGAACAGTACACTCACTCTAAATATTCTCACATGTTCAATGGTGTGCTTAAAGGAGAAAATTTGTAAGTAGAATTAAAGAAAAGACCAATGACAATTCGGAATGCAAATCGATGTAGGAAACGTGTGAATTTCATCACAAACTCAGATGAAACTGTAAGTTGAAGTAATTGCTGTTGGTGGCCTATTTTTGAATAGGCGAATATTCTTTCAATGGAATATGGGAGATTTTTTTTTTTAAATAATAAAATTTACTAAAGGTTTGAATAGAGTCTGTACATTAAGCTGTTTGGTCTGAATTAATCGCTAGGTGTAATGCTCAAAGTTAGAGGGATATTCAATGTAATGTTTTTGGAATCCCAATATATTGCTGTTTGCAAGTATCGTTATGAATTAGGGGAAGAAATAATTTAATTTTGCAGCATTTCAGCAAATGTATAATTTAAGTCATACTGTCTTTAAATGTATATATACAGAATAAACAAAAGTAAGAAGTAATGTAGAACCTAAAATGTGTATATGCTAACTATATAGAATATGGGTGATTTTTGACATGCTTGATTAAATGTATTGTCTGAGTTTTTGAGGTTTACTGAATGTGCTTATGGTCAAGATTAGGATTAGACAATCTTGTTTGTGTTGCAGGAGAAGGAAACTCTTATACAGCAGGGCTTCCAGCAGGACGCTGCCCGGATGCAGAGAGAGATTGACGGCCTGAAAGCTGACATGAATAAACAGGAGACATCCCAACCCTCCACGATGAGCAAGGTTTTGGATGGTATCGGCACTGCGGCGGCTTTGTTCTTGCCAGGCTTCATTCCTAAAGCAGCTGGGATTGGTCTATCCTGGCTCTCAAAACGTTTTTGAAAATGGATATGCATTATTCTCACACACTCACCTAAACATAGGCTATATGTATTATTCTCCAACACAGCTTGAATTGTCCTGCAGTTACTTCTCATTGCTCGTGAAATTGAGTTGCTGTTCTCCTAAGTGACATTCACATTTAAAGCCCAGCTTATTAACTGCCAAGCTTGCACCAACATGTTAAGAACAATAAACAAAGCCGTGCTATCAGAGGGATGTTAGTCTCGCGTAGCCAGACCTTCAGACTGACGGCTGAAGGTCTGGAACTCATAGCAGCTTTCTTTGGCCGAGGCCCGCCCATAAGGCCGTTTGACCGACATGTCAAACAACCAATTACAGTTCGTTTCGTTCAGCGTCACGTGGAAATGTCCCCACAACAACAGACCGGCGTGCAACAAGTCAGTCAGCATAGAAAATCAAAGGAGGAGAAGAAAACCGAACACAATACTGAATCGGCCAGCTGCGATGTCAGCGTCTGTTGTTTCATGTTTGCCCGCAAACGCGGCTGATATCCCCTTCACAGTTAGGTATTTCACTTGATCTTCCATAATAGATCATAGCTGTCAACATTGAATATAAGGGAGATTTCCCGGAATCCATCCCCAAAATAAGGGAATTTTTCTTACCCACCACAAACTAAAAATAAAGCACTAATCATTAAAAGTCTAAAGAGTTTATAACTACAAATGAGTGAGAGAGAAAGAGACAGTGTGTGTGTGTATTAGAGAAAGTGTGTCATTTTTTATCAGAGAATGTTTAAATACTAATATCAGTTTACGAGGGAAACGGTACGTGGTGCTTCGGGGGCTGCTGGAGATGATTAGGGAGAGGTCAGTGCTCCTTTACCGATCAAAGCGCGCGCTGACACGGAGTATAATTGTTTATACTTGACGCGTCCGCACGAGCGCGGCAAAGATTACGCGTTGGGTGCGCAAGACCGGCAAGACCCCATTTCGCTTGGCTGTGTGCACAGCTTTTTTTGTAACAGCGCGCGCGGCGCCGCATCCGAGGATGAACGACTTCAAGCCGAATCTGCCCGAGCATGTACGTCTCACACAATCAGAGCGTAAAAATACGGGATATTTTACGGGAAAATAATAAAACGGGAAGACAGCGGGAAAAGAGCTAAAATACGCGAGAAACCCGGAAAAACGGGAGGGTTGACAGCTATGTAATAGATAGGAGGGGACACACAACTAGTAAAGTTGGATCTGCTGGGAATCCTTATAAATGCTGACAAAGGGTCGGCCAGGCTTGGAAAATAATACTCTTCCCAAATCCCGTCGGCAAACAGGCTAAAATATTTCTTTTTGTCTCCACTAAGTGCCTCAAACAAAACTCCTGGACATCTCTTAAAGAGTCTACGCCGTGAACCTCGCATACTTTTGAGAATCCTACGTTTAGCTGATCTTGATAAATGCTCATTGTCACTCATGTAAACACAACAGTTTTTCTTCCGCAATCACACGTCTGCGCTTTGTTTCCCGGCGCACCGAAAATAAACGCGACACTCGCACCCCCCGGAAATCCGATAAAATTCAACCAATCAGATGACGACTTCGACATTCCTGAAGTGTTTCCAGTTAAAGGGGCATTATGCAGAAATCCCGTTTTTGTCAAACAGCGACCCCTAGAGTTACTGTGGAGTACTTGAATTTAACGTTACTGTCGTAAATACCACTCACAGTATACAATAGTACATTGTGTTTAATTTGTCGTTTAATGAGATATAATATATGTTGTTAGTGGTGAGAATTTTCACGTGATTAAATACATAGATCCGACAATTTTAATGGTCCAGAGGCAGAACTTTTGCCAAGTGTGTCAGAGGTTCTGGGTTCTAATCGGTACTAGTAGTATAGTTTATTTTCCTCATCAAAACCGATTGTTTATTAGTGGTTGTATTTCAAGCAGGGATATGTTTTTTGTGCATTACATTTTGTGATTTCACCATAACAAAATATAGAGAGTCTCTCAGTCCCCGCAACGGATTCAGGCGCGCGTCACAACAGAACACTGTAACTTATCTGCACCACTGATCGCAGAGGCAACGAGCACTTTGGTCACTTGATTTAAAAAATAACACATTTCAGATCGCCTCTTATTTAACAAACGAACGAAATGAATGCTCTACTAGAGTTACCTGGAGATGTTTTATTTGTTTGTAATGGTACATCCGTGCCGCGAGAAGTTTCAATGGGGACATAACACACCTGCAAATTATGCCTATGCTCGTGCCCGACTCCTCGCTCGGTCAGTCTGCCGTTTCCTCTTTCTCTGTTCCTCCGACAATGCTTTCCTAGCTTTCTGCATCTTATATGCCGGCTCAGCCATGACGATAGTGTGACAAACTCCATCCATCTATACCTTGTTCCTGTGTGTATGTGTGAGTTGCCGTAAAGGAATATGTTACATCGCGAGAGCTGATATCACGCGATACTTCCTGACGCGGCCCGCCGCACCGAAGTTGCAAGTGAGATTTTTGCGCTCACAGGCACCAGGGGGGGTCGAGACGCCCACCATTCAACCCGAAAGAAGTTATATAACCATTTCAATAACTCTGAAGCTGTTCAGTTAAGCTAAAAAAGCTGCATAGTGTCCCTTTAAGTGTACCATATGCATCAGACGTTTAGCCAACGTTCCGTGGGCGTGACGTCTGAGGCTGAGACTAGAGGGATGTGAACTTTTCCTATTACATAATCTGTGAATCCTGATGAAAATTTTCCTGGGAACCTTCAAATTTATAGTTTGATATTTGGCCATGTTGAGATTGACATGGGCCAATATCTGTGTCCAGTTGTCAGATTAAGAAAAGCCCTTTCAGTGGACAATATAATTGTACTTTTTGTGTTTAAAGTTTTAGTCAACAGACCTACTGACTTATACCACTTTTCTATTGTTTTTGTTTGCCTGTAATCCGATCGCCTATAGGCTGAATCAGATCGCCTATAGGTTGAAAGTGGTCTGTGAAATATAATAAAATATTTAATTTGATTCAGATTAATTGTGTCTTGCACAAAATAACACATTATGACATATTAGTTAAGTAATTTATATTGTAGCACATAACTGTATTCCATCCAAAATAGCTTATAAGTAAGAGCTCCTAAGCAATTTGAGTGTAACAGAGTGTAACACACAACTTCCATAACTGAAGTCCAAACACTTTTAAAAGGATGACTTTTGGTTCCAGTTAGGTTCAGTGTAAGAATTTACAACCATGAATTAAACTCAATTAAAATGTGTTAGAAATTATGTAAATAAAACAAAACCCTATTTGTTATTTTTAGGCAGTCTCAAAATATTTTGACTACTACAAAACAAAACAGACTGAACTACAGCGTATGTGGAGTACTTTAACTAGGATTTAAAATATCAATGTATGTTTAAAAAGGATACAACCAAAATAGAAAGAGGCCTAATTTCCACATCTGTGAAATGGTACTGTACTTACAGTAGTATGCTTTGTTTTAATACAAGGCATACAAAGTTCTGTCTAATTTGTGCCAACAACATAAGGACAACCATTTAGAAGCTGAATTTGTTATATAGTAACTTTGCGTTTGCGTTTTGCGTTAAAAGCATGTTGCGTTTTAAAAAAGGCTTCAAAATAAATTTTTAGGTAGGACTGTGTTTTTGTGGAAAAGTCTGTCCAAGTAAATTTCATCACAGACCTTATTTTACACATCAGCTTTAAAAATCAAGAGGAAATTCCTGAGAACCCATGAAAAACTAGCCTTCCGGTTTGGCCTACAAATTTGGCATGACTGCGCAATTCAAACTTTACATGCGACCATTTCTTGTATTCTAAATCCTCACGCTTTTAAAAGGAGTTAAGAAGTTGTTTACATCAGCTTCTAAAGCTAAGCTCGGGAGTCAAATTGACTCCAAAAAATGGGAAAAGGAGTTTGTGACGACAACAGCTTCAAGGTTTATGAACGTACAAATTAAACAATGATGAATTTTAATCTGATGAATATAATGACTGTAACATTGTTTGAAAAATGCAATGGTTACATACAAACACAAACAGTATGTGAAATGAAGGTCTACTAAATACAGGCAAACTTGTATGTCTTACTACATGCTTAAAACTATGGATTTTCCCATAACCAGCAACACAGTACATAATGTTTGTGCACAGTACACTGTAAGAATGTGAATTAGCACTCTACTCAAACTAAATATAATCTTACTAAATAAAACCTACTCATGATTGAGTTTTATAAGCTATAACTTTAAATGAATCAATTTGTAATTCAACAGTGATTTGCATTAAAGCGGTATTTATTTAAGTCCTTTCATCATCACCTTGTATTGGAGCATGGCAGGAAAGAGTTCTTTACAAGCTCCAACAATAGGCATCAGATATTCATTTATATAACCCCCAGAACTTTTCTCTTCCTTTTCTTTCTTAAGATTCTTTATCTCTTCATCCAGAAAATCAGCTTTCTCCCTAAAGCCTTTGTTTAGCATCTCCGCCTGCTCCTTCAGTTTGCTCTCAATAGCTCTGTCCATCTCCTTCTGCAGCTGATCCCTCTCCTGGTTGAACTTCTCCTCCATCTGCCTCATTCGCTCCTCCTGTTGCTCTTTTTCTGCCTGCGTCATTCGTTCAACCTGAATGCGTTTCTCCTCTTCCTCTTTATACTTCCTTTCCAGCAGAGCATTCTTCTCCTTTTCTTCTGTCAATCAAGATAAAAAAGGAGAGAAATAATGTGAAACATGATGCTAAGTGAAAGTGGAAGTGACGTGACGGCCAAATATGGTAACCCATACTCAGAATTTGTCCAATGCTTTTAACCCATCCAAGTTAGTGCACACACATTAGGAGTAGTGAGTAGTGAACACACACTGCAAACCGTGGACACACACACACACCCAGAGCAGTGGGCAGCCATTTTTGCTGTGGCACCCGGGGAGCGATTGGGGGTTACTCAAGGGAACCCCAGTCATTTCCTGCTGGTATTGAGAATCAAACCCCCAACCTTCGGGTTACCAGTGTGACTCTCTAACCATTAGGCTACAACTGCCCCTAATGCTAATACTAAACCTCCCGAATCTGAACTCCAAGATGCTTTAAGAATTTGGGTTTGGTTTCCATCTCATATGCATTTTTTCAATTACAAATTCTGCAGGTTTGCTGGTTAATGAATTACATATATTTACACGGTTGGTAAAGATTTACCTTGAATCTTTCTGTCGTTTTCAGTGAGTTTTGTGTCCGTGTAGAGGATGCTGTTTGCTTCAGCTCCTCGCTCATTCAGAAACTCGTTCAGCACGGCCTCAGCCTGCAGTGCACATAAACATATACAGTATATTAGAACACATCTATAGACATACTCATAACTCTATGTGTACTCAAAGAACCATTACGTAAAAACACACAGAACGTGTCCTCACCGATACACCTTTGTTGGGTTCTCTGCGGTACTGTTCAACAATGGCGTCTCTGTCTCTGCAGTAGAGTTCATGTCCTCCAGACTGACTGTACTCTCCATTCTGCAGCCGTTTATTCATCTCAGAGAACAGATTCTTCAGCAGATCTTGACACTTTCTCTCTGACGCCATCTCATTCTCTTTCAGCAGGCCTATATAGTGTACATCTATGTTTTCCTAAACATACATACACACACATACAGTACATACATCACATATAAACACTGGAAAAATCTGTTATACTAGCTGAGTTATTGGTCCATCTATGCCCCCCTCCAACTTCCCTAAAATAAAAAGATTATTTTTTTCTCAAGGACAATATTTAAATACTTCAGCTAAATATAATTTAAAATAAAGCATAATGATTAAATAACTACATTATAGCTATATTAATTTAGGAATATAGCTGCATTATAATGAGTGTGTGCATCCAATTGTGCATTTAAAAACTCACCACTAGTTTTATTAGGTATTCTCCTTTTTCATCTTTAAAAGAGCGTTTCATAAACTCAGAGGTGGCCAGCCTGCTGAACTTCTGGTGCTCAGTGGAAATATCATCCACATTTACTGGGAACTTGTTCTTCACCTGCAAAGAATGAATGGCTGTAACAATTAAATTAGAGTACTTAAATTAAAACTGTTCAGTTAAAAAAAAAGAATAACTCTGTGAATTTGACAAAGGCAGAGCTTTATTTATTTACTGAATATTAACATGTTAAATTAATAACATGATGCTTTAAAATATTGCCTGCTGTAGGTGACCTGTACATATTATGTATATTTATGTATCATTTTATTTAACATCATATCAAATCAGCTTTAGATAAGTCAAGGACAGTTTGCTGAGTATCAGTGCTAACTAAATATATGAACTTGTGTGTCTTACCTCTTCCATCCCACTCTGATACACGAGCAACGCTTCTTGAACAGCTGCCTGGTTCTCTAGATTTGCGAGAGTAACCACTGCATTGTCCAGACAGGGCACCTTCCCACTGCTGATTGTATCCACATAAATCTCAACCAGGTGCCCGAGCACTGACAACAGACAAACAAATTTAACCTTTTCAAAAATATAAAGGCTTATGGGTCGAAGTTCACACTCTGAACACTGAAAATTTCCAATAACTTAAATTGGTAAAACACACACATATGCCAGTAACTCTGTGTCCTCCTTTCAGTGTTTTCACAGCACTCCTGTGAAAGATGTGGTCACAAAAACGACCCGTGACCTCCAGAAAATCTGCTACAAGGTCCCGTTCTTGCAAGCTTTCTAAGCGTCTCATGTTTTCAGGCGAGGCAGGAGATGGGAACACGAAACAGTTCCGGGATGGGAAATAGTTTCGGATGCATTGACGGGGCAGGTTGTAGTCGCTGATTTTCTTATTTACACCTAAATTAAGTTTTTAGGAAAAAATAACACATTTTACCAAAGAAGATTGTGTCAACATTTTTTTATTGTTGTTAATATTTAGTGTCTAATTATTTAAATTCACATACTGGTGCTTGATGTTTATAGAATTTCTGTCTAAAATACCTTTTTTCAGCTGGAGGGCAAACTCAAGGTACTCATCCTGAGTCACTTTCTTTCCATCAATTACCAGTTCCAAGGTGAAATCTCTAACCACCCAGATGAATGATGGAAAAAAGAGCACAAATTTGGAATCATCTTCCTCCTCGTCTGCTGCTTCTGTCGATCTGATCTTGATCTGCTCAGCGAGCTCACTAACGTAGCTGCAGCACATTGAGAAATAACAGCATCTTGCAAAGTGTATGTTTGTATATTTGAAAGAGGATGTGGGTTACGTGGCCGATTAAAGGATACTGTAGATTTTCCACTGCATTGTTATCGATGGTGCCGCGGCTGTTGTACACCAGAGTGCTGCTGAGCAGAACGGCCAGAGAAAAAATCCAGCCGTCATTCTTAGAGTCTCCCTGAAACACAGTGTCTTCAAAATCAAAGCATCAACCATATAACAATATTAACAAATCTACAGCTCAATCCTTGTCCTCACCTTGTCCACATCACCAAGTCCCTCTGTGTCCAGCAGCACCAGAGTGTGTCCTTCTTTATCGGGGTGAGGGACACACCACATCCAGATGCCTTTGGTTTTCGACTCAATAGTGTTGCCAAGAGCAAAGCCTGAGGCAATTCAATTTTTTATTATTATTATCACGATGTAGCTAATTTATTCATACATTAAGTTAGCGTGTCTAGACAGTTCTATCACCTGACTGTTGTCCTGCCAGGCGGTTCATAAGGTAAGACTTCCCCGTACGGTAGAGTCCCACCACAGACACCACCACCACCGGCTCCTTGATTCTACTCAGGAGCTCAATGGCATCCTTACAGACGCGGAGAGATCCGTTCACATTCTCCACCAAACAAATGGGTGAAGACATTAGTCTGGCATTAGACATGCTGGCTCTCTCTAGCTCTTCCTGTTTGCTAAAGGGGGAAATAATCACTTGGTTACTGTAAA